CATATACTAACTACTAGTTTTTTTTTATCTGAAAATTAATTAGTTATAGCGTTAAGCTTTATAAGGAACATTTATAGGTAGGTATCTTCGAAGCATTGCTCGTTTATCCTGGGACTATTGAGTAAGCAATTCGAGAGTTAAGAAGAGAGGGTAGTACTAGGTAAGGATGGGCGAATCAATGAATAAACTAGTGAATCTTCATTAGTTGAAGTGCCCAACCACCGACTGCCTCAACGAACTATGTTGCCTGATGTAGAGGTAGGTAGGTTGGAGGATCCAAAACAAGACATAGTACAAATCCATGAAGTCAGTGATAACTGGACTAAATCATGTTAGTCGGTGTAGACTACTTGGTTGGGGTCCGCTAGACAATAAGTAACCGGTGGTTAAAGACTTTGAATGAAATGGTTCGAAATTGATTGCAATAGTGCAAGTGTATCCATTCTTTGGCTTCTCTCAAACTTTAACCTTCTGCATTTCTTATTACCTTTCTTCTTCTAAACTTATCTCACTGAATTATACTTCTCGAATATTATCTTCAAACCCTAATCTTTCCCATCACTGGCTAATACTTCTACTACCTCTATTGCGATGGAATTTTATTGACAATTACATCTCTGTGCATGCTAATGTGGTATAGCAACTGGAACTGATGTTACGTACGTACGTACCTGCCAAGTTCTACATTGTAGCTGACTTACTGACTAACTGACTGACTGATTAATTTCAATATTCTCATTTGTCCATAGTAGATTTCGAGTACCGTTAGTCAGAAGTGTATATATTGTAACTCGGTGAGATCATAGAACACAACTATTTGATAAATGTAATCGAAAAGCTTTGTGAGGAAATTCTCGGAGTTCCAGTGAGAAGACGTGACCAATGTAGGCAGTAACTACCAAAGACAAATGGGTGAGGTCACGCAAAATCCCTAGATCAATTAGAGTTAGACATTAAAATCGTTGGATGCCGGCCCAGTGGTCCGATGGTTAGGCGTTCGCGCAAAATACCGAAGCTCCCGGTCTCGATTCCTGCGAGTTGCAGGAGTCGTGGATGCGCACTGCCACTGATGAGTCCCATGCCAGGACGAAATGTCCGTCTTTCAGTGTTTTCAGGTTTCTAATGGTGATGGTCTAACAATGATTGATTGATTAATGATTTCAAATGTGTAAAAACACACAAATCTCCAAAACTCTAACTGAAAATATCAAGAAATAAAAAATCACCCCCTGACATCTCATGATGTGCATGTTGTTAATGGTAGAGAGGGGAGGTACTTCGTTTGAAAAAACATTAGTTCATCAACACACACACAGTGTTGGTAATAAAAACAATTTTTTTGAAAATATAACCAGTTCATTGATTGATAATCGTTTTTTCTTTCAAAAGAGGGAGAAAAATCCTGTTACGCATGCACGCGAACATGTCATTTCGATATGCTTGGAACTATTCCGAGTTTACCTTATTTGGGAAACGAGAGCGAGGATCCGGTGACACAACAGGTTATTCTAATCCGAGCGTCCCAAACTCCCATTGAGTAGAAGAAGAAGACTTGACATGAAGTAGAACTTGTATTCTACAAGCATTCAGAAAGTGCGGGGTCCAAGTCCAGAAGAGAATCAGGATCCCAGACTAGGGATCTGGGTGCGGGTCATAAAACGTTACACATAATGCATATTTCTACAGTTATGTCGATTAGGAAACAGCATTTGAAGTACATGACATTGATAGTTAGGACGACCAATTAGAATTAAGATATGGCATGAAATATCCTAACAAAAATACCTAATCATGCAACATAATAAAACTAGAACGTTTTTTTAATTAAAATTTTTAAAAAAATAGGCGGAAAATGAAAGTACAGCGAATGGTATTGTGATTTATTATTATTATTATTATTATTACTATTATTTTGGGCGATGTCCAACATCTCAATGCATGATATCTACGTGTTATAATAATAATCCCTTGTCCATCCGCCCTCCTCTTCTCAAATAAAAACAATAACTGCTGGCCAGTTGAGTAAAATGCAAAAGAGCAAGTGGAAGTTTAATATTTGTCTACTGAATAATAATACACAGTTCGTTCCAATGTTGAACTTGGTACATACTATACGTACATCCGTTCGAGTTGCTATACTACATTAGCACGCACAGAGTCAGTCAGTCAGTCAGATGCAACGTAGAACTTCGTACGTAAGTACATCAGTTCATGTCGCCATAACACATCAGCACAGAGATATGATTGTCAATTCAAATCCAATAGTAGAAGAGGTAGTAAAGGTATTAGAAGTAATCGGAGAGGTTAGGATTAGAAGATATTATTCAAGAAGTATGATTAAATGAGAAAAGTTTAGAAAGACAAAACTTGAGTTGTTGGAGAATCCAGAAGATTAGGATTTGAGAGAACACAAAGCATAAATGCACCGGCGCCATTGCGAACGATTTTGAGCCATGTCCTTCAAGGTCTCTAACCATCGATTATTATCATCTCGCGGACCCCAACCAGGTAGTTGACAATTACCGACATGGCTAAGTCCACTCGTCAATAACGCACAGAGAGACGCAATTGTCAACTGAAATCCCATCGTAATAGAGATAAAAGTATTCGCAGTAATCGAAGTGATTAAGGTTCGAAATTATGATTCAAGAAGTAGAATCTAGTGAAATGAATTGAAAAGGAGAAAAATGAAGGTCATGAGGAATTCAGAAGGTTAAAGTTTGCGAAAAGCCAAAGAATGGATACACCTGCACTATTGCAATCAATTTCGAACCATTTCATTCAAAGTCTTTAACCACTAGTTTCTTATTGTCTCGCGGATCCCAACCAAGTAGTCTACACCGACTAACATGGTTTAGTCCAGTTATCAGTGACTTCGTGGATTTGTACCATGTCTTGTTTTCGCCTCCCTCCCTAACATTCTTCCAACCTAATACTACACCACAAAACAGCGCTCTTCCAGTTAGTTGGCAATTGGACATACGTAACATATGTCCCATTCTCTACTTCATCCATTGACTTGTCATCCTTACCGAGTGCCCTTTGCTTAACGACGGCATTGCTTACTGGATAGTTCCAGGATATACGAGCAATACTTCGAAGATACCGATGATCGAATACTAGTAACCTTCAAATATCCTCTATTCCTACTGGCCATGTTTCACACCCGTAAAGTAGGACTGAACAAACTACTACGCAATAAATTCATCCATTGTGTCGCAGACCAATATTTTACCTACGCCATAACTGATACAAAGCCAACATCCAGAAGATACAAGTATTTATGAACAGTTGTCTACGCAAAATACTTCGGATTCGTTGGCCAGATATGATCAGCAACAACTTACTGTGGGAGAGAACAAACCAGATTCCTCCAGGGGAGGGGGAAATCAGGAAGAAGCGGTGGAAGTGGATAGGACACACATTACGAAAAGCACCTGACTGCGTCACAAGACAAGCCCTTAAACGGAACCCTCAAGTTCAAAGGAAAACAGGAAGGCCAAGGAACATATTACGCCGAGAAATAGAGAAAGATATGAGAAGAATGAACAGAACTGGAAAGTGAAGCCTAGAACAGAGTTGGTTGTAGGGAACTGGTGGGCATAAGCGTAATTGATGCAGGTTGGCAAAAGCCAGTTGAGCCTTCGATATCTGTGCTGGGATTTTGTCACATACCAGGCATTCAGCACTGTTCAACACGCTCAAGTACTTCACTCCCTTTTATTATTATTATTAGTTGAGGCACCGACGTAAAAAAAACATGGTTGTGACTACTACTATAGTGAAGGAGAACACAGGTGAGGGCAACCGGATTGTATTTAACGAAAATTACAGAGTTACTCAGTAAAATAGGAAAACCATATCGTAAACCGTTAATTTGCAAATCTTCAATCCATTGTCTGACATTTCACTTATTCATGCGTTTCATACAAATTCCATTGTGTTCCCACTCTTCTTACTTTCTTGATCTTCCCCTACATCTTCTGCTGCCAGACATTACGTTTACACTCACGTCATATACTACTTATAAGTAGCGTGCACCACACTACTACTACTACTAATTGTAATAGTAGTACTGGGTCGATTTTAATCTCTTTTTCTATCTATTTATTTTAGGATTTCACTACTGAAGAACCTATTCTAACCCCATCGGATAATTCTTCGGAATTAGCTGCTATAGCACAAGATGTATTCGCCGAGTTTGATTGTATCAATATTGATTATAGTGTTATGCGTTATCATACAACTCGACCTAGTCAACAACAACCATTACAATCAATTATTGGTGGTTTACATATAACTAATCCTGCAATGTATTCAAATACTGGTGGATCTTTGATTACAACCACATCAACATCGTCACCGCCGCCGCCGCCGCCACAACTCACACCCTTATCCTCATCATCATCAAATGTATTGAGTGATTCGTCCAGAACACTATCGTCCAGTGGTGTTTATGATATTGGTAGTAACCCTAATAATAGCAGCAGTACTAATACTACTACTAATACCACTAGTAGTAGTACTTGTGTTTCATCTAATCCAGACTCGTACAATCTTAAAACAAACAATACACTTTCATTTCCTGACACTATTAGTAGTGGTGGCGCTAGTGGTGGAGTTACATCTTGTCTATCACATTCATCGTGTAACACATCACGATTGACCATTCCTCCTTCTTCTTGTTGTTGTTCATCTGGTATTGGACAAACCATGGCTAACAATTCATCATCGCAATCATCACCATCATCTATGCTGCCAACACATAGTGCACCCACTTCACCGACTCGTTCTCATTCCAATATTACAACCTGTGGTAGTGGTGGGGGTGGTGGTGGTGAGAAAGCAATGACCAATCGGCTTGCACATTGATTTTTCAATAAAGTTCATTCACACTTTTCTGTAGAGCTATTGTGTCAATGTTGTTTGTTCGTTGGCGGCGACGGTGGTTGCGGCGACTGCGCCATTTTTATACATATATCCATCCATCCATGACTGTGAACAAATCATGTTCATTCATTCCTCTCTAACACACACACACGGACAACAAGAACAACAACATGTCAGTATTCATACATGTGTGTGTACACGTGTGTGTGTATGTGTATGTGTGTGCCTATTGGCTGCCGTCATTTCCTTTCTCTCTCCGTATCTCTCTCGTGTGAATCTATGTACTCTGTCGATTTCTTTGTTAAACACTGGTAAATAGTAGTGGGGATGGTCGTAGTAGTAGTCCTGGAAATACTCATTATTATCTTCTGTCCATTAACTTTGATGATGTAATATTTCCTGAAGTACTTTGTGTGTGTGTGTATGTAGTCAGTCAGTCAGTCAGTGTGCAATCGTCTGTGATTGTTAAGATTATCTTTCTCTCAGTGTCTTCTGTTTTGCTCTTCAACCCTTTTTTTCCCTAATTCGTCTGGATTCCCTGCATAGTTATGTTCTCTCTCTCGCACTTGCGTGTGCCCCTTGGTGTGTGAGGGGCTCAGTGGCGTTTTACATTTCACACAACGCCATTTACATTGTAATGCACTTTGATTGAAAGTGCACACAATCTATATGTACTACTTATTGTACCAAGATATATATATATATATATATATATATATATATATATGTATTTATATACATTGATGTGTAAAGCCTGTTGCATGTATTTGTATTCAAACATATGAGAATATTTGTGTTATTATTTATCAGAAGTGATTGAACAGAAAACCGGAAAAGAGAGTCAACTAAAAATCAGTTTTTTTAAAAAAAAATACTAATTATTATTGAAAAGTATTCTTTTCATGAGAGACTTCTTTTTTTCTTTCTGTTACAACACACCCGTGAGTGTGTTATTGTTGATCAATTGCTTGTTTTAATCGAATTCTGCACTACACTTACCTACCTACCTGTTTGTCTGCATTTACTACAGAGTAGTTTGCATTTACCTACTCCTCAAGGTTTCCTTTCCCTCCTCCCCCTTTGCTTCATCTTCCACCTTTATATATGTGTGAGTACCAGTTAAGAGAACTCCTTGTGAACCAGTTAGTTATCAGTTTAATTCCTTGATCAGAATAATATTTCTCCGTATATTTGTGTTATTATTATTATTATTATTATTATTATTTCAACTTATTTGTGTGTACCAGTTTTTGCTACCACCACTACTACTACTACTGTTAACAATAAATAAGTAGTATCGTTATGATCATCATCATCATGTCTGTATTGTTTTGATAATAACCATTTTGTATAAAATAAAATGTCTCTTCTTTCTTTATCTTTTTTGAACTGGCATTTGTTTTATTCAGATGATAATGATGATAACTATTACTTTTTTGCAGTTATTTCTTTACACAACAACTATGAATTAATTGCCTTGTCATGTGTGTTGTACTGTCGTTTGCTTTTTCTATGTATTGTTAATGGGGTTGGCCAGTTTGCAATTATACACATATGTATGTATGTTTTTATATATATATATATATATATATATATATATGTACTATATAGAGAGAGTAAAATTGTATTTCATGTTTTGTTGTGGTGAACTTTGTAATTTCGTTTTAATTAATTCATGTTGCATTTTACTCCACATCATGACTTTGCATTTCCACACTTGTTCATTCGTCGTCCATCGTTTGATTGATTGATGGGAATGACGAAGAATACCACACACTCACTCTCTCTCTCTCTTTGCTTATTAATATTATTATCATTATCTCGAATTCTTCAATCCTACTACTAAGTTGAGTATTAGTAGTAGTAGTTCTGTCTACTCTGTGTATATTATTATTACTCATAACACAATCAGTCAGTTAGTCAGTTGTTGTGTACTTCGATCTCATAGATAGATAGATATATACAGAGATATTATATTTCCCCACACATCCTTAACCCCGTCGTCAAAGATTACAATTAAATTCTTTTTCTTTTTTTCTCTCTACTAATCATTAATTTGAATTTCTTGTGATCTTTTCACAAAAGAAATCCCCCCAAAGTTTCATTTTTTTCATCCTGTGTCCAACTTACAAAGTTTCTTTTATTTATTTGTTGATTTATAATTCTTTTTTCAAAATAAACAATGTTTGTTGTTGTTGTGTGTGTGTATGTACGAGCAATGAGTACACTTTTCATTTTTATTGAATCAGCTGTTTTTTTTTCTGTTAACAAGAGCACATGCATTTGCATTGATGTGATTTGTTCAAGGGAAAGCAATTCCTCTCTTTTTTTTCTTGTCTCTCTTATCTGTTCTTCTGTCATTATTATTATTCTCATGAATATAGAGGATTGGGTTTTTTCGATGGGTCGCCTTCCCTTGTTCATTTCACACTCAGCTTATTGGTAGTTGTTCTGCATTTCAATGTGTTCTTTTTATTCTATGATCTCACTCATTATTATTATTGTGATCACGATTTGCATTTCTCCATCCTACACACTCTTTAGCGATGCTCATTATTAATTTGTTATTATGATTATGATTATCAGTGAAAAAATTGTTTCATCTCCCTGCCCCCACTTGTCCCATGAATTATCATGATGTCAATTTTATTTACGATCTTCTTGCTTACCTACTTATAAATGATTATAAGTAGTATCGGTGGTATTGTTTGTGTTATTATTGTTATCATTATTATTATTATTTTGATTGGCTTTCAATTTTTGTTTTATTTTTTACCTGCATTTAACATTCAAATTATGTGTGTATGTGTCTGCGTGTGTTAAGTTCATGTGAATTTTAAATGAATTTTTGTCAACTTTTCTCGCTAATAATTTTCTTTGTGATTCGTTGATCTCTGCAAATAGTTTTCTTTTTTTTTCGGTTTTTAATTTCAATTTTATTTTGCTGGTCGAAGTTGTTTTTGTTTTTTTTTAATTTTGTTTATTTACTTTTAAACAAACAAAAATTTGAGAATTAATCACAATTTGTTTGTCTATTGTTATTGTTGACTTGATCTCAAATTTACAACAACATATAGGAGGACTTCAACTAACTAACTAACCAACCAATCTTTCCGTGTCGTTGCTGCTGCTGTCGCTGTAGACGTCGCCGCTGCCTCCGCTTCTCCAACCTATTTTGATTTGAACGAATTTTCACTTCCAGTGCATATATATATACACGAATGTTTTCATCATCATGTGAGTTGAAGGTGTGAGCAACCAACTAACCCAGTAAACAAACAATGGTGATCACTTTGTGTATACATTGTTACATAATATTAATAATAATTATTATTAATTATTCATTTGTGTTGAATCATGTTGTTCAATCTATACATACTACTTATATACACACACGTATATATTTATATATGCTTATACGTATATAAATGCATGAACCGATCAACTCGTGTGTATGTGTACGTGATTGTACTTTGTGCAATTTTTCTTTCTTTTATTTTTCTCTTGTTTATTTTTCAATTTTGCGCGCGCGCACACACACACACAACCACATTGAATGTGATTGGATGTGATTGTTTGGTTTGGTTCGGTTTGATTGGAAACACTACTTTTCATCCAGAGTGTTTCTTCTTCTTTTGTTTTTCAACTTTTTCCTTTTGTCCATTTGATATTCTCTTCTTCTAAGAATAATGAATGATAATGATAACACATTTGGTTCTTTGGTATTTCTTACTTTGAATACACTAATAATACTAATGTTGATGTTGATGATGACGATGACCAGTTAAACAACAACTTATTTCGCTTATCGTTATTTTTGATTTATTGAATTTTTAAAATAAAATTTAAAAAAAGAACTAAAACAAAAAACTCCTTTAGTTGAGTTAATACCGAATGATAATAATAGTTGCATTATGGGGTTGTGAAGAGTGTTAAGTCAGACGTTGGAAATCGTGAATCGATCAATGTTAGACTACTATCAGAAACCTGAAAGCACTGGATGGCCGTTTCGTGGTCCTGGAATGGGATTCATCAGTGACAGTGTGCATCCACGACTCCTGCACCCCGCAGGATTCGAACCCAGTACGTTCGGTGTTGTGCGTGAACGCTGAACCACTGAGCCGTTATCCAACGGTGTTAATGTCTAACTTCGATCAATTCACGGAGTTGCAAAACCTCATACACTGTCTTCAGTTGTTACGCCTGCGAGGTGCAGTAGTCGTGGATTTGCACTGCTGATGAGTCCCACACCGGGACCTCGAAACGGCTGTCAAGTGCTTCGAGGTTTCTAATGGTGGTCTGACATTGATCGATTCATGATTTCAAATAATAATGAAATTAGTGTATTGATTCTATTGTGTGCTTTTAGTGTTTATCCATAGTCCGAGAAGGTGAAAGTTATGATAGTGTTTTGTTCTCTGAGCTGAACAAAACACCGCCACAATCGTCCCTATTCTCTTTCTCTCTAAAAGATTTGATTTGCTTAAAACTAGATTTCTTGAATAAGTCTCTAAACTGTCATGCATGTAGAAAAGTATTATAATGAAAACACGTTACTATGTATGTATAATAGTTAGTTAATTTGTTTCTAAAATGTCAATTAATACAAGAACCAGGCAATAATAATAGTCAGTTTGTTACGCATGCGCGTGAACACGTCAATCGATAGGATTGAACTATGGGTTTATCTTAGTCAATAAACGAGAGCGAGGATCGATGATCTGGCTACTCCAATCCGAGTTTCCCAAACCCTCATTGAGTAAAGGGAGAAGACTTGATATGAAGTAGTACATGTATTCTAGAAACATCCACAAAGTACGAGGTCCGAGTTCAGAAGAGGCTAAGGATTCGGGTCCTAAAGCGTTACAGATAATGCGTATTTATATAGTTAGGTCGAATAAGAAACAAAATTGAACTACGTGACACTGATAGTGAGGTCGACCAATAGGAATTGACCAATAGAATTAAACCTATAAATAATTCCCTTTAGATATTGAATGAATATCCTAACACAATTACAAAAAATATCAGGGGTCGATTAAATTTAGACATTGTCATCGTTGGATGCTGTCCAGCTCAGTAGTCTTAGAGGTTATGTATTCGCATGCGAAGTTGAAGGTGCTGGCTTCGACTCCCACTAGTAGCGGTCGTGCATACGCACTGCTGGTCATGCTTGCCTTACTAGGACGAAACGGCCATGATTCCAGGTTTCTAATGCTGGTCTTACAACAATGATCTATTCATAATTCCAATGAAATTACAGCAAAGTGAACTAAAACAAAATACGCGCATACCAAACAGTAGCAGAGACGCAGCAAAATGAATCAATTTAAAGAAAGCGCTAGTCATGACTGTATAACTGGTAATTAGTTGAAAAACGGTTCAAGGTATTAACCAGTTCTTGGGGATTATATGAATCTGAGTTAGTGAATACTAGACTGAGATCAACCATCGTTTATCATTAGTTAACAAAGCATACTAATCATATATATTTGCTAATAGAATAAAAATGATTGG